GATATGACAGGTTGACAGGGGATGCTTACTCCTCCTAGGCACCTGATCCCATCTCTGGATATTCAACGGGTCTGTGCTTTACACCCTGTTCACAGATTTGCATTTTTGTAGGGTTTTTTTTAAGATCAATCACTGTTCATCTTTATCTATTTCATTCTGGATGAAAGTTAAAACAAGAGGCCCATGGGCCACATTGCTCACCTGAGCTCAATGGCTAGGCAAAAGCACAAATCAGTTCAGTATTAAAAAGATTTAGCTTTTCTGTTCTTGAGAAGAAATATTTTTTCTATATGTTCTTATGTAAAACTTTCGACCCCCGATTGGGCCCCACCCTACCCCCGGAGGTCATCATTTGAACAAAACTGAATTTACACTACCTGAGGATTCTTTCATATCAAAATGACTAAACATGATTTTCAGTTCTTGAGAAAAAGATATTTTCCTATATGTTCCTATGTAAAATTTTCGATCCCCCATTGTGGCCCGACCCTATCCCCGAGGGTCATCATTTTAACAAACTTGAATCTACTCTACCTGAGGATGCTTCCATATCAAAATGACTAATCATGGCTTTGCAGTTCTTCAGAAGTAGATATTTTCCTATATATTTCTATTGAAGACTTTTATCCTCCATTGTGGCCCCACCCTACCCCTGGGGTCATGATATGAACAAAATAGAATCTACACTATCTGAGGATGCTTGCACATAAATAAGATCAATCAGGGCGTTGCTGTTCCTGAGAAGAAGATTTTTAGAATTTTTCCTATATATTTCTATGTAAAACTTTGATCCTCCATTGTGGCCCCACCCTACCCCCGGGGGTCATTATTTGAATAAATTTGAATCTACACTACCTGAGGATGCTTCTATATAAATATGAATCACCATGGCTTTGCTGTTCTTGAGAAGAAGATTTTTAAAGATTTTTCCTATATATTTCTATGTAAAACTTTGATCCTCCATTGTGGCCCCACCCTACCCCTGCAGGTCATGATTTGAGCAAACTTAAATCTACACTACCTGAGGATGCTTCCATATCAATATGACAATTCATGGCTTTGCTGTTCTTGAGAAGAAGATTTTTAAAGATTTTTCCTATATATTTCTATTTAAAGCTTTGATCCTCCATTGTGGCATCGCCCTACCCCCGGGGACCATGATTTGAACAAACTTGAATCTACACTACCTGAGGATGCTTCCATATCAATATGACTCATCATGGCTTTGCTGTTCTTGAGAAGAAGATTTTTAAAGGTTTTTCTTATATATTTCTATGTAAAACTTTGATCCTCCATTACCCCCGGGGGTCATTATTTGAACAAACTTGAATCTACACTACCTGAGGATGCCTCCATAAGTTTCATATTTTCAAGCACAGCTGTTCTTGAGAAGGAGATTTTTGAATGATGCCATTAATTTCTCACGAATTCATAATTATCTCCCCTGGGAAGAAGACGTGGCCCTTCATTTGAACAAACTTGAATTCCTATGGAACGCCATCACTGCCTTATAGGATAAAAATATACATTCATTATGTCAACTTATCATTACTTGATGTGAACATACCTTTACGTGATGTCAACATTTTATGAAGTGAGGTAAAAATATCTTAACATTATGTCAATACTATATTACACGAAGTAAATATACTCTTCCATTATGTTAACACTTTATAACTTGATGGCAGAAGTTCATTACACTGTGTCAAAACTTTATTGCGTGAAATGAATGTTTCTTTACATCATTTTATTTCTTTATTACGTGATATCAAAATTGCATTACGTAAAGTGAAAATATCTTTACATAATTAAACTTAGCATTACGTTAGGTCCGAAGCCTATTTCTTGAAGTGAGTGTATCTTTACATTAGATCAAAACATTATTATGTGATGTGAATGTATCTTTATATTACGCCAAAAGCATGATGATGTGAGGTGAATATATCTTAACGTTATGTCAATACTTTAATGCGTTGTGTGAAAAAGTTAATTACATAATATGAACATATTTTTATATTATATCAACTTTTTATTACATGATGTCAAACTTCCGTTCCATGATGTGGATATATAGTTAGGTTATGTTGACTTAACTCTTTTTGATGTGAAAATATCTTAATATTGTGTTAACCTTTTATTACGTTGGTGCCAAAAGTTCATTACGTGATGTAAAAATACATTTACATTATTTCAAATCCCTATCTCTCGAAATTTGTATATGTAATGTGAAAACATCTTTATTATGTCAATATTACTCATTACGTGATAACGAATGTTTTATACGTTTTCAGTGAATTTATCTTTACATTTGTGTTGTTGAAAGAGGACATAATTGCATCAATTTAGTGGAGAGTGAACGTGGACGACTGTGTTTTCGCTACTGTGACAGGCCAGTGGAACACGGTGGGGGGGGGCAACTTTTTTCTGAGTATAATACTTTGCTGTAGTAAATTGACCATAAGATGTTGTTTGCCCCCCTTCTTTTTGTTGCTTGTCAAAATATTTGGGGAAGTTGCCCCCCCCCCCCCCTCCACTTTTTTGTCAGTTTAGGTTTTTTGGGGTTTTTTTTTGTTTTTGTTTTTTGCTTTGTTTTGTTTTGTTTTTTTTTTTGCTTGTCAGATTTTTTTTAGAAAGTTGCCACCCCCCTCCCAACTTTGAAACGTTGCGTATGGTCCTGTGGGAGGGGGATTGGGGCGAACCAGTTTTTTCCAACCATTCCAGGGCCAGAATATCTATCTCCAAAATCTGCCCCCTCCATCTAAACCAAAGTCCATGCCATGCATATGGAAATCACGCGCACGCATGTGATACGATGAGTTTAAACTTATTGAAAAAAGAGAGGGTTAGCAGTTGATAAAAAGCTAAGGCATTGTCTTGTAGAAAGAATAGAAATAATAGACTTTTATGAAAAAACAATTCAAAATTAAAAAAAAACAACTTCTTACTGCATAAAACGAAATTTTATTTAACATTTGATGGACGAAAATTGTCAAATTAAACCTGATCAAACTTCGGCGTTAAAGAAAAATAATTTTACATCAGTTAATACAGATTCCACAGAAACTTAATCCAACATAAGTTTAAACTTGATATTTAACTGAGGAATAATTAGGTGTAGTATATAATTTTATATTAGATGCCTTTTTATTTTGCATGCGTAACATAATATTGATGCCACAAAATGAACTTTCGGCATAACCTAACGAAGGAGTATAATCGTGTAATGATCAGTATAAATAAACTTCATATATTAAACTTTCTGTATCATATAAAGATTTATTTACTTCACTACAAAGAGTTGAAATAATATAAGATACGCTGACAACAGACTATGCACTTTTGGGGCAATGTAAAGATACAATAGCATAACGTAATGATGAATTGGCGAAACATAACGGCAAATTCACATTACGTAATGGATTTCCGCCATCATGTACATTGTAGCATATTGTTAACATAATGTAGTAAAGAATTGACCATATGTGACCATTTTTTCACATCATGTAATGAAATTCTGACATCATATAATAAAGACTTGATGTTGATATAAGGATAAATTCACATAATATAATGAACTACTTGCACCACAAAGTAAAAAGTTCACGTAATTGTAATGATAAGATGATACAATATAGGATTTTTAGAGAAGTCATGAATTTTCGAGAACATTTGATAAAGAATTGACATAATATAATAGGTATGTTGACATAAAACAGATGGATTTTTACATACAGTTAAGAATTTTTGACTTCATGTAGCATTGAATCGACATGATGTGTACAAATCATTGTACATCACGTCATGAACATTTAACCTCACGTAATAACGAGTTAAGATAATGTAAAGATATCTTCACATCACATAATAAACTTTTATTCTAACGCCATAAAGAGTTGACACAATTTAAGTAAGGTTGACTCAATGTAATTAAAGTGTTCTGCTATAAGGCAGTGAAGGCGTTCCATAAATTCCCTTTACCCAAGGATACTTTGTGGCAAGTTTGGTTGAAATTGGCCCAGTGGTTCTTGAGACATCAATCACTTACACAACAGAATATCCTTCAAAACTGATCAAGTACATTTAGAATAATTCAAAATAAGTGTAAGGGTGAAAATTCCCTATAAACTAAGTCAATTTGATTAAAATCAGATCCTTTGATCCGCTCACATAGATCGCTACACAAGAATCTGAAGAAACTCCATTTAGGGTCATCTCCTGGTGGCCCTCTAATAAAAATATTCATTAAAATTTTGACCAATCAGAGAGATCATTCTTAAGCAATATATGTAGAAGTGAAAGTAGCTGTGGAGAAGATCTTATCGTTTCATACAAAAATAAAGAGCTAGAAAAAAGGCAAAAGCAAGTACTAAATATATTTCTGTAAATGAAAGACTGTGGTCGTTCTTTTGACAGGCTACGGACACCAGGTCACATTTTTCCATTTATGTATCATCGGGGCTTTCACTTCTGAGACTGAATTCCGAGATACTTCTAAATTCTTGCAAGCAATCGTTTGATTGGATAATTGAAAGGTCACCAGGAGATGACCCTGAATGGGGTTTCTTCAGATCCTTGTATAGCGATCTATGTGAGTGGATCAAAGGATCAGGTTATAATCAGATTGAAACTAAGTAAATGATAACGGTATCAGATTCCTGACAGGTCTACATATTATTTTAAAGTTTATTTAGATAAATCTACTTTTCCCAATATTCTTTTTGCCAAAATTACTTTTTTTACCCACAATACAACAGAATACCAAAGGAATATAGCTGATGATCCAAATCAAGTAATAGCACTTTTCATATACAGTCAAACCTCATTATCTCGAACTCCATGGGACTGAGAAAAAACTTCGAGATATCCAAGGATTTGTGATATCGGGGGTAAAATACTTAAAGAATAAGGGATTGGGACTTTAAAATCACTTCAACATATCCATGCTATTCGAGTTATCCGTATTCGAGATACCTAAGTTTAACTGTAGTTGATTCACTCACCAGCTTTACTATGGATATCTATGGGATCAATTAATTCCAAAATCTCACAATATCCTATGTCCTTTAATGCACTAATAAAAGCCTCTACAGTCTTTAAATCACCATTCTCAATCAACGATAGAAGTTTTTCTGTACGTTTATTAGAAGTGGGAGCATTTCTTATCGAGTCCATTGCATTCTGTGCAAAGCAGTCTGATTTTGATAACAAAGAAATAAGAGCTCCAGGTTCTAACTCAGAGATCAGCTCATTCCTATAAACTTTCACTCTCTCCTTGGTTAGTTCTGCCTTAGAAATATCTGAAAGACAACAAGAAAATAAAATCATTTTCTGGTGTGTAAGACCCTCTGGGGAAGGTTACTGTTATTATGCAACTGAATTTTATGTGTGCATTGCATTAATTGTAATGTGTTTTTTTTTGTAAGGTGAACTTAACCTGGCTTCGCTGTTGCTGAGTGTGAATAAGAAACCTGTACCCTGACCTCCAGCGGTTCTGTACCCTTAACACTGGGAACATTTATCCTCTTTATCATTCCTAATATAAGCTCCACCAGCTTGTTGTTTTCTCTGGCATTGAGTAATGTCTGTACAGCTTGGTCAGTGACCGGCCTTAACTGTATGACCACAGAACCAGTTGAGATATCTTCAATGCTCATTTGTCCATATGTAGCAGCCTCCTCAATAATCCCTGTGTCTGTGAAGACCTGCTGATGAAGTGCTTGTTCTACCTGCTTTCCTGTGGAACCCTCCACTGTTAGCTTTACATTTATGGATCTATTCTGTACACTTTCTATAAGAATATGCCATAATTAAATTTTTAATACAATTCATGTTCTGTACCTTCTATCAATACAAGGAATGGTAATTAAGAATATTTATGTTATTAATTTGTTTTTTTTAATCTTGAGCTAATGTGAATTTTATACTTTTACTTATAATTGGCCTTTACCTGAAGATACTGTGGTATTTAATTTGTGTGATACTCTCCATTCAAACTTTGCATTTGTTTCTGCAAAAAATTAGAGCAATGAAGTTCTGGGAAGCACTATTTAAGCAATGAATTTGACTGTAATTGAATGAAGTTTTATGAATCGCAATCTATTAGAACAAGATGTGTTTGTGAAACACTGATGCCCCCGTATGGCAGCTTATGGCGAAGGTTAAAGTTTCTCAAATGCAAGTCAAAATCCAGGCCAAAAGATAAAAAATGTTGGTACCCAAAGAAAGATCTTGTCTCGAGGAATATACCTGTGAAATTTGAAAGACCTAGCTGCAACTGTTCAAAAGTTATGGCGAAAGTTAAAGTTTTTTAAAAGTAAGTAAAACGTCAAGGTCAAAGTTGTTGGTATCCACATATGTAAAGTATGAAAGCCCTAGCACCAACCATTCAAAGTTATGACCAAGGTTAAAGTTTTTCGAAAGAAGGTCAAACTCCTATGTCAAGGTCAAAGGGTCAAAGTGGTTGGTATCCAAAAAAAGGTCTTGACACAAGGATTACATTTGTGAAGTATAAAAGCCCTAGCACCAACCATTCAAAAGATATGGCCTAGGTTAAAGTTTTTCAAAAGTACGTCAAACTCCTATGTCAAGGTCAAAGGGTCAAAGTGTTTGGTATCCAAAGGAAGGTGATGTCACAAGTATTTCATATGTGAAGAATGAAAGCCATAGCACCAACCATTCAAAGTTATGACCAAGATTAAAGTTTTTCGAAAGAAGGTCAAACTCCTATGTCAAGGTCAAAGGGTCAAAGTGGTTGGTATCCAAAAAAAGGTCTTGTCACAAGGATTACATATGTGAAGTATGAAAGCCCTAGCACTAACCATTCAAAAGTTATGGCCAAGGTTAAAGTTTTTCAAAAGTAGGTCAAACTCCTATGTCAAGGTCAAAGGGTCAAAGTGGTTGGTATCCAAAGGAAGGTCTTGTCACAAGGATTACATATGTGAAGAATGAAAGCCCTAGCATCAACCATTCAAAAGTTATGGCCAAGGTTAAAGTTTTTCAAAAGTAGATCAAACTCTAGGTCAAGGTCAAAAGGTCAAAGTTGTTGGTATCGAAAAAAAGGTCTTGTCACAAGGATTACATATGTGAAGTATGAAAGCCCTAGCTCCAACCATTCAAAAGCTATGGCCAAGGTTAAAATTTTTCAAAAGTAGGTCAAACTCCTAGGTCAAGGTCAAATGGTCAAAGAGGTTGAAATCCAGAAGAAGGTCTTGTCCCAAGGAATACACATGTAAAGTTTGAAACCCCAAGCACCAACTTTTCAAAAGTTATGGCCAAGGTTAAAGTTTTTCAAAAGTAGGTCAAACTCCAAGGTCAAGGTCAAAAGGTCAAAGTTGTTGGCATCCAAAGGAAGGCCTTGTCACAAAAAATACACGTTTGAAGTTTGAAACCCCAAGCACCAACTGTTCAGAAGTTATGGCCAAGGTTAAAGTCTCATAAAATTTCGCAAAAATGGTCAAACTCCAAGGTCAAGGTCAAAAATGATAGTACCCAAAGAAAGGTCTTGTCACAAGAAATATTCATGTGAAATATGAAAGTCATAGCTCCAACCAATCAAAAGTTATGGGCAAGGTTAAAGTTAACAACAGACAGACAGGACAAAAACAATATACCCCCAGGATCTTTCGATCTGGGGGTATAAAAATTTATGCAAGAAACACTGACTTAAATTAAGCTTCTAGTATACTTGAATCAGAACTAAGATATTTTTTCTCTTAAGTCATTCAATGTCAGTGAAAACAAAACAAGAGGCCCAAGGGCCTTAAGGGTCACCTGAGTATAAATACAACACCGTAAAGGTGCATAGAAGTACAAAATAAAATAACTGAAAGATAAATTATGTTGCCCAAAAGCAAGAGAAATATAATAGTCTAGTATTCCTAAATAAATCTTAAACTAGATCAAAAAATCATTTATACATTTTCACCATATAATCAATAAAGCCCTGCCCTACCACCAGAATTCCTCACCCAGGGGCCACATTTTTGGATGAGGCACCCTTGTTCAACATAATTATGGCTGTAGTTTATCTGCTAAATATACAAGGGGGAGAAAGTTTTTTTAAAGAATTTATGAATTTTCACAATATAATTAATAGAGCCACACCATAACACTATATAGCACCCCTGACCAAAGGACCATGAAATTCACCATTTTGGAAGAGACATCTTTACTCATAATAACTATGCACTACATTTGTTTGCTAAATACCCAGGATCAGAAAAGAAAATTTTCAAAGAATAAATGCATAAATCTTTAATTACAATCGTGACAACAGTTGAACTGCTAGATGTCCAGGAGTAAAGAAAATTTTAAAAAGATAGCACTAATTTTGATTGCTTTAGCCCAACCCCTCAGGCCCCATGGGGGCAGGGACCATGAAATTCACAAATTTTGTTCCCCTTTACTCATTTATACTGTATGCCAAAATTGGTTGGAATTTGTTCAGTGGTTCTAGAGAAGAAGCTGAAAATGTTCAAATGTTAACAGACGATGCACGACGACATATGAAAATAGAGAGCAATAGGTCACCTGAGTGACTCAGGTGACCTGATAAAACTGTCCTAATAGAACCAATACCCCTGCAGGGCAATGTAACAGAAAGGGCTAATTACTTTAACAGGTTGAGACCACTAAATTTTCTGATGTCAGCATACAGTACAGGCCACGAGTTTTCCCCGTCGCACGGTGGAAAACACACCGTGTGAAATGGTCTGTGTTACACCGTGTACACGGTGTAGCACGATGTGTGTGGATTTGAAATACACAGGTAGGCACACCGTGCCGCACCGTGTCTAGAAAAATCCCAGCTAATGCTCCCCGTGTCGCACCGTGTCCGGAAAATACCCTCCGTGCCGCACCGTGTCCATAACATTACAGAGAAAATCGTTTGGTTCTGATAAAAACTTTAAAATTTAAAAACAATTAATCACTTTGATTTATATGTATAATTATCGTTTTAAAATCTAGAAGACACTGACTGTGGTCTGAATCGAACTAATGACACGTATATGAAGTAGGATTAAAAAATCGGTTATCATACGTCTAGAAGTTCGCATTTCGTTAAGTTATTTAGTTATTTTTTAAAATTATAATTTGGATTGAAATTTTTAATGTCCGAAGAATTCAATTTTATGTGTTCATGCAACGAAGAAAGACTCCATCGAGCTGCATTACATGTAGTATACAACCCGAGCTGCAGTTGTTTTAGTATACCATCAAAGCATTAATTTTATATTCCTGAGTAGAGCACATTTATTGTGTTAATCTTGTATTATTCTGAATTTATAAGCGAGAATCGACAGCAAAAACACGAAATCCCTCTGTACAATAATGTGCGTATTTCTCGTAAAATTTTCATAAACTAGTATTTTGAAAAGCCTTTCAGTGTAAGTATGTAATAATTTTTTCTTTAATTGAAAAGTGTGCAAAGAAACAATGTCAGAGAGAGAGACTTCATTTCGCATAAAACTAAAAAAAAAAAAATCTTCGTTTTTATAATGCCTAAGAGTATTTCTCGTAACAGACAATTGACTTTATCTTTTCATAAACTAGTATTTATGCTTTTGTTTTAAAATCCTTTCAGTGTAAGTATTTAATACGGTAAGTTTTTATTTAAATGAAAAGTGTGTAAAGAAACAATGTCAGAGAGAGAGAGATTCTTATAAATTTAATTCTTCGTTTTATTTACATTTATTTACCAAAGTCACAATTAACCATAATGATTATATAATACTATTTAAATTCCGTAACTTCGTTTTATATTCAACTCAGTTACAAATGTTCAATCAATTTGTTCTCCGTAACACACGAAATCCTCGTGCTCTACCTGTCAATCAAAATCGCTAGGTGGCCCTGAAAGTTTGTTTACGCGGAAAGTATTTCTCTTGTGATTTGAAACATTCTTATGGTCAGTTCCGAGTTCACACCTTTCTTTAAAATATATCTGGACAGAGCCGGAGGGCTGGGGCGTTGTGTGTTTATCACACCTTTCAAATTCTTCCGTCCTGACCATATGATGTGTATAACACACTCAAGTGACTTCCAGCCGAATTCATCTACCGGGTTACACCACCAGTCTACCACACGATTTGAAACTTACTTGTAAATTATCCTTTTTCAGACACATATAAACATGTACATGTAAACAGTTAGATTATGACTGTTTTATTTCACCATAACGTAACATATACATGTAAATCCACAGACTTTCGAAGCGGGGGGGGGGGGGGGGGGGGGGGGGGTAGCAAACATAATGCATGCAGCTTGAAAGAGGCTGGGTATTTTTTTTTTTTTTTTTTTTGGTTATAACTACACATTTTCTTCCTTAAAACCATGATAATACTTTGACCATGAGAAGCTTTGTTCTATACATTCGCTAATTGATTTTTTTTTTTTTCGCAAACCGTACGACACATTTTTCATAAAATAATCTCAGAATAAGGTAATATTTGTACAGTAGTTAAAAAGCAGATTTGAGTTACCAGCAATAATCCTTAATCAAAAGTACATGTATAATTCGCCGAGTAATATAATCAGAGAGCAGAGTTCATGTGTGTGTATCTGATACGTTTTTTAAATTTTACTTATTTAGATGCATATTTTTTTTTAAAAATCTTTTTACGTAGAAAATGATTTATAAAATAAACCAATAGGCATGCATCTGATAAATACCACATACCGTATAATAATAGTCTGACTATTGAACATATTTTTTCTCTTATATAGTTAGGTTTTTGAAACGTGACTTACATGGATGTACGAACATATTTTGAAGAGTTTGTATTTCGCTGGACAAGAGCACGTGGATCTTAGATTTTATGGCATCTTATTTGTTCAAACATATGTATATCGTTATTAATATCTCCTCGGTCAATATTGATATTTTTCTGGTGAATAACAAACCATATTCACCACCGAAAGAGTCCATAATTGTATAATATTTAAGAAAAAAGTGAAAAATATCTGATTTCAAAGGAAATTCTTATAATTGATTAAATTAAGAAAGGA